GAAAGCAGGGACAGGATCACAGCTCAGTGCAGCCTCCACCTCCTGGGTTCAAGGAATCCTCCCACCTCAGCCTCTGGAGTAGCTGCAACCGCAGATGGGCGCCACCACACCGCACTGATTTTTGTGTTTTTGGTAGAGAAGGGCTTTTGCCATGTTGCTCAGGCTAGTCTACAACTCCAGGGCTGAAGTCATCCAGCCACATCAGCCTCCAAATATGGTGGGATTACAGGCATGAGCCACCACAGCCGGCCTTTTATTTTCCTCTTTTTTGAGATGGAGTGCCACTGTGTCATACCTCTGTCACAGGCTTGAGTGCAACCTCTGCCTTCTGGGTTCAAGAGATTCTCCTTCCTCAGCCTCCTGAGTAGCTGGAATTACAGACAGGTGCCACCGTGCCCGATTACTTTTTGTATTTTTAGTAGAAATGAGGTTTCACCATGTGTGGTATCAGACTCCTGGGCTCAACTCATCTGTTTGCTTGGGCCTCCCAAAGTGCCGGGATTACAGGCGAGAGCCACCTGCAGTTGTCCACAGGAGGATGACCATTGTTTCTGTTTTCCTTTCTTTATTTTTTTGAGGTAGGGTGTCACTCTGTCACCCAGGCTGAAATGCAGTGGCACACTCTGGGATCAGGGCAACCCCTGCCTCCCAGGCTCAAGTGATCTGTTTCAACCTCACAAGTAGCTCTGACGTCAGATGTGTGCCTTGACGCCTGGCTAATTTTGTGAATTTTTGGTAGAGAAGGGGTTTCACCATGTTGCCCTGGTTAGTCTCAAATTCTGAGCTCAAGTGCTCTGCCTGCCTCAACTTCCCAAAGTGTTGGGATTATAGGGGAGAGCCACCACACCTAGTTGGTTTTGGAATTTTCTAGAGGAGGAAGACCAAGGCAGCCTATTGGCCCTTCCAGGCCGTCACATGGGAGTCAGCCACATCACCTTCTTACCCTCCTCAGAGCTTCTCAGGATAACTTTGTGACCTGTCTCCCACTGTGAGCTTCAGGGACTTCACCTGTAAAAGGGAGGAAGAACAGGAAAGCTCAGAGTGACACTCACCCCTGAACAGACTGACAAAATACAGTGAGTTGCTTTTTGGTGTATGTTTAGTAGAGACGGGGTTTCATCATGTTTTCCGCGATGGTCTCCATCCACCCTGACCTCGTGATCCACCCACATTGGCCTCTGAATTGTTGGTTTTACCTCGAATTATAAATGGATGCTGGTCCTCCAGAAATGTAAAGGTCAAAAAATCAGAAGAAGAGCCAAAAATAGGGCATCGGACTCAAATCACCTTGAACCTTATCTCATGGCCTCAACCCACCTACTCGGCTCTGTGTCCCCTGCAGGTCTCTCCCCAGAGAGCTACAGTTCTCCTGTGTCCTGTGTCCTCTGCTCCCTGCGGGGGCATCGCACAGGCGTCTCCACGTTCACGTGTCCATAAGTGACACCTAAACCCCCAAACGCATTCCCTTGTTGTGTGCACATCTCAGATGAGGGTGACTGTGTACTTCCGGGGTCTTTGCGGAACTTGACAGCATATATTTTAAATATGGGAAATCAGTTATATTACTCCTAAGTGTTGTAATTTATAATATAAAGAGAATATTACATGTATATGTGAAAAAGCTGAAAAGCTACACTTCCAAAATGCTTTTTTTTTTCTATACAGGTTTTCGCTCCCTCACCTAGGATAAAAAGCAGTACTGCTATGTCAGCTCACTGCCACTTCCACCTCCTGGGTTTACCCAAGTTTCCTACCTGAGCCTCCCAAATAGCTGGTATTACAGGCACGCACCACCACATCCAGCTGATTTTGGATCTTTAGTAGAGATAGGGTTTCACCTTTTTTTTCAGGCTGCTCTCGAACTCCTGGCCTCTGGTGATTCACCCACATTGGCTTCCCAAAGTGCTGTGATTACCAGCTTGAGCCACTGAGACTGGCCTTTTTTTTTCTTCAGACCAAGCTTTGCTGTTGTCACCCAGGCTGGAGTGCAGTAGCACGATCTGGGCTCACTGCAACCTCTGCCTCCCAGATTAAAGTGATTCTCCTGCCTCATCTTCCGGAGTAGCTGTGGTCACATTCAAGTTTCAAAATTCTTTTAGATTGTGAGAGGAAAATATGTAAAGACCTTGTTCCTATGGACGAATCTGTTTCCCCAGGACCTCCCTGACCTCATCTACCTGTGTCCTCCTCTCCCACTGCTCCAACCACACGGGCGCTGTCCTTTTGCTGGGGTTGAGGTTGCTGCTGTCTCAGGGCCTTGACTTGAGCTGTCCCTCTGACTTGGACTCTGGCCCCTCAGCTGCAAGTGACAAGCAGCCTTTTTTCCCTAAGTCTTTGTTCTGATGTCACCTTTTCTGTGGAAACCTTTGTGATCTCCCACAGCCCCCCACTTGACATTGCATCTGTGAACCCACAAAACCTCTGACAGATGTCATTTCATTTAGAAAGTTTCTTCTGCCAAGGTTGAGGATGCACCCGTGACACAGCCTCAGAAAGTCCTGGTGACATGTGTCCAAGCTGGTGGTGGCACCGCTTAATTTTATACATTTTAGGGAGACATGAGACATCAGTCAATATACGGAAGAGGCTCATTGATCTGGTCTGGAAAGGCAAAAAAACTTGAAGCAAAGGCAAAAAGAGTTGAAGCAGGAGGGGGCTTCCAAGTCACAGATAAGTGACACACAAATACCACGTGTCCCAGGTGCTGGTAATCTGTGCAGCACTGAGGGTCAAGTTTCTGTGTCCTCCAGTTCTGAGGGCTGAGCTGAGCCTGTGATGCACTAAGAGGGGAGGGGCTGGGTCTGTGCTCTGAAGGGGAGCTTAGTCCAGCCCAGCTCCCCACTTCGGCCTGGTGTGTGCGGCTTCTCCGGGAGGGGGATCTGAAGACCAGGGCGAAACACACTTGTAGGTCTTCCTGTGGGACTTTCTTACCTCTGCATGATGTCTGTTGCTGTGGGCAGCAGAGGCCCATCTTTCTCCAGAGTGATGTCTGCCCCATGTGTGTGTTTCTGTCACAGTTAGGGAGTGAGTGGTTTCTAACATTAAGTCTCCAATATTTTTCACATGCAGGGTTGATTTTTAAAGACTCATAGTAGGTAAGGAAGCAGCTCAGAAGAGGAAAGAAAAGGAGCCGGGCATGGCTCTTCCTCAGGTAAAGTGACACTCCTCGGTGGGTTCATCTGTCTGTTCCCTTCCTGAAATGCCAGGTATTGCAGTAGCCAGTCTCTTCTGAGTCTGAAGCGTCCTGCCTGACACATTGGCTGGCACGCACCCGTGCCTTCCTCGGTTCCTGTAATCTGCCCTGAGAATCCATCTCCTGGGACCCGGTGATAGGAACTCAGGAAGAGGCTCCACTGGGCATGGTCATGGGAAGGGCTGACACCTGGACCTGGATGGACATGGGGTGTGGGCCTTGTGGTGTCAGTGCTGCTGCCCAGCCTGGATGGTTCAGAGGCGACATCTGGATGTAAGACCTTTGAGGATGAGATCAGACAAACTACGTATGGAACACATGGGTTAATGTGCACTGATGTCTGGTAAACTCTGGAAAAGGAGACCAGTAAGGGGAGCTATTTTGTAACTGATTTGGTAATGCAGTGGAAGCCACACTAGTAGATCAACACGTCTCTGACTCCAAACTTTATTTTTTCATGTTTTAAGAGACAGGATGTTGGTTACAGTGCGGTGGCTCACACCTGTAGTCTCAGCACTTGGATGGATCACTTGGAATAAGGAGTTCAAGACTAGCCTGGCCAACATGGTGAACCCCACCTCTACAAAAATAGAAAAATTAACAGGGTGTGGTGGCACATGCCTGTAATAATCTCAGGTACTCAGGAGGCTGAGGCAGGAGAATCACTTGAACATGGGACGTGGAGGTTACAGCAAACCGACATTGTTCCATTACGCTCCTGTCTGGATGACACAGTGAGACTTTCTCTGAAAGAAAATAAAAAGAGAGGGAAGGTGTCACTCCATGGCTTAGGTGTGGAGTAGACTGGTACAATTCAAAGTTTACAGCAGCCTCGCCTGCTGGGCTCAAGTGATTCCTACTTTGGCCTCCCAAAGAGCTAGAATGATAGGCATGTGTCACTGCACATGGCCAATATTTCTATTTCTGTTTTAGTCTCTCTCTGTCACCCAAGCCAAAGTGCAGTGGTGCAATCTCATCTCATTTAACCTTCCATGTTTTGGGTTCAAGTGAGATTCTTCTGCCTCAGCCTGCTGAGTAGATGGGACTGTAGGCGTGTGCCACGACATCGGCTTCTTTTTGTATTTTTAATAGAGACCGGGTTTCACCGTGTTGGCCAGGCTCATCTTGAACTCCTGATGTCGTAGTCTGCCTTGGTCTTTCAAGGTGCTGGGATTACATGTGTGAGCCACTGTGCCTGGCCTTGCTTTTTATTTATTTATTTTGCAAGTCAGAGTCTCACTCTGTCACCCAGGGAGGAGTGCAGTGGTGCAATCTCGGCTTAGTTCAGCCACCATGTCCTAAGTTCAAGGGATCCTCCTGCCTCAGCCTCCTTTGCAGCTGGGATTATAGGTGCCTGGCTAATTTTCATACTTTTTGTAGAGACAGGGTTTCACAGTTTTGGCCAGACTAGTCTCCAACTCTTGATCTCAAATGATCTGCCTGCCTTGGCTTCCCAATGTGCTAGGAAGGCAGGCGTGAGCCATGAGGCCTGGCCCAACTATTTCTTCTTAATTGTACATTTTTCCTATATCTATAGAATCAAGACTTCCACAGTAACTTAGGGGATCTTAAAATGCTTAATGAAAAAGTGCAGTAGAGCTTATAATTCTCAGATATTATCAGTAACACACCCACAAAAGTGCAGTAAAATGCAGCTGTAGAGAAAAAATGTTCAGAAATACCGTAAGTAGTTTTGTCAGAAAAGTCTTTGATGAAATGGATACTTAATTTCTCTTTTCTCATTTACTGTGAAGGTGGAAACTCACTCCTCCATAATTAGTTGAAATGTGTTTTTCATTTTAGGGACGCTTGACTTTCAAGGATGTGTCTGTAGAATTCTCTTCGGCAGAGTGGAAATGCCTGACCCCTGCGCAGAGGGCTTTATACAGGGACGTGATGTTGGAGAACTACAGGAACCTGGAGTCTGTGGGTGAGGAAAACGTCCCTCCAGACACGAGTAATCCGTCTTTGTTTATCTGGGCTCTTCCTGGTTTGTATTCTCTGTTGTGATTTTGCCCTATACAAAGTCTTTCTTATTTTTCCCGAGATGCACTTTTCCTCTTGTTGCCCAGGCTGGAGTGCAGTGGTGCGATCTTGGCTCACCGCAACCTCAGTCTTTCTGTTCAAGTGATTCTCCTGCCTCAGCCTCCTAAGAAGCTGAGATTATAGGGATGTAATTCCTGGCCTCGCCAATGTTTGTATTTTTAGTATACACCGGATTTCACCATGTTGGCCAGGCTGCTCTGGAATTCCTGACATCATAATCTGCCCACCTCAGCCTCCAAAAGGCCTGGGGTTACAGGCATGAGCCTTTGTGCCCTGTCTTGCTCAGTTCTCACAAACACATCTCTACCTACTCAGCGGGGATCATTCTCACCCCCATAGTGCCCTGCACTGCTGTCCTCTATTTCATACCGTTTACTTGTTTTTTCTTGTGTGTACACAATTCTGGAATCTACACGGGGAATTTGTTGAGTATATACCCGAAACTGAAATCAGAGGCCCTTTAATTTGAGAGATGTAAAACTGCCTTCACCTCAGGTCACTACTGCTGCTGTTTTGGCTCTTTCATTCTTGTCCCCTGCCCATATTGTAATTTGTGTGTTTAACCTCAGTTTCATATTTGACCATTTTCTAAATTAGTTGCACTTCCCTCCAAGCTCAAACTGTGGTCTGTGCTGGTGGGATCATATTCCCACAGACGAGCCTGCACACAGTTCACTCCTGCATGCCCATTACTTCCTGCCCTCCACCCTTGCCCTTCCTTTCCTGGCCTTGCCTCACATGCTACATTGATCTGGATGTAAAATGCTGCCGCTTCCCAGCCTGTTGATTTGTAAAGCTGAATACCCCAATTTAGCCCCTCCCCTCCAATACGATTCTCACTGAGTGAGTCGGGACCTTAAACATTTACTGGACATAATTATACGAGGCTGCTTAAATCAGTGTGTGCAGGGCCTGATGACTCAGCACGTTCTCCATGAGGGAAGGCTCAGCATGGCTGTCAGCAGCACAGCTCAGCCCTTGTATCCCTCTTGATGTATTTCTTTCTTCTCCTTGTATTTTCTATGACTGGGCATTTTCTGTACTGCCTGGGTGAGACTGTTGTGCTTAAGAACATGTTGTGGGATTTTTCAGACCCAGCATCAAGTTTTGATAACAAACGTGTGAATTGGGTCAAGTACATGACTACTGTAAACTGCAGTCCTTGTTTGAGAAGTAATATTTTGCTTCCAGGTTCTTTTTTCTTTTTTGTTTTTGAGATGGAGTTTTGCTATTAGTGCCCAGGCTGCAGTGCAGTGGCACAATCTCTACTCACTGCAATCTCTGCCTCCTGGGTTCTATCAGTTCTCACACCTGAGGCTCCCAAGTAGCTGGGATTTCAGCCATGCACCGCCACACCTGGCTAATTTTCTATTTTTAGTGGACACTTGCTTTCTCCATGTTGTGGACACGCTGGTTTTGAACTCCCAAACTCAGGCAATCCACCCGCCTCGGCTTTTTAGTGTTGTTTTTTCACGTGTGAGCCATCATGCCTGGCTGTCTCCATGTTTTTAAAACAAGTTAATTAGATGTCTTCACAAATTGAATATCTTATAATATAGGCAGGGCTCAGTGGCTCACACCTGGAATCCCAGCACTTTGGTAGGCCGAGATGGGCGGATCACGAGGTCAAGAGATCGAGACCGTTTTGGCCAACATGGTGAAACCCCATCTCTACCCAAAATATAAAAATTATTTGGGCGTGGTAGCACCCACCTGTGGTCCCAGCTATTTGAGAGGCTGAGGTGGAAGAATCGCTTGGACCCAGGAGGCAGAGGTAGCAGTGAGCCAAGATTATGCCATTATACTCCAGCCTGGTGACAGAGCAAGACTCCATCTGAAGGAAACAAACAAAAAAGAGAAAGTTTTATAGTACAAACTCGAAGCTTCCTTTGTTTCCTGTGATGTGTCAGCCTTTGGTGATGTTGATTATGGGAGCCCGTTTTTCTGTCTCAGTCATTTCACTGTCACGTCAGAAATAGGTTACACTGCCTAGCCTCAGTGGCTCATGTCTTTATTCCCAGCAGTTTGAGAGGTTAAGGTGGGTGGATCGCTTCAGCTCAGGAGTTTGAGTGCAGTCAGGCCAACATGCTGAAACCTTGAATCTACTAAATGCAGAAAAATAAATAAGTGCATTGGCTCACACCTGTAGTTCCAGCACTTTGGTATGCCAAGATGAGCAGATAACCTAAGGTCAGGAGTTTGAGAGTAGCCATGCCAACAGGGTGGAGGCGTATCTCTACTAAAAGTACAAAAATAAACTGGGTGTGATGGCATGCACTTGTAATCTCAGCTACTTTGGAGGCTGAGGCCAAAGAATTACTGGATCCCAGGAGGTGAAGGTTGTAGTGAGCCAAGATCATGCCACTGCAGTGAAACCTGGACGACAGAGCGAGACACTGACACACACCCATACACACACACGCACATGCACATGCACACACATACATTTAGCCAGGCTGTAGTCCCAGCTATTTAGGCTGCTACGGGAGAATCTTTTCAGGCACGAGAATCATGCCATTACACTCCAGTTTGGGTGATAGAGCATGACTCAGTCTCAAAAAAAAAAAAATAGCTTAAACTGGGAAGCTTAAGACACAGAGATTTATTTCTTTTGAATTTAGGAAGTGGGAAATCTAAGAGCAAGGTGCAGGCAAATTGGTTTCTGCTGACAGCCTCCTTTGTGATTTAGCCCAAGCATCTTCCTGCTGTGTTTTGTCTTGGTGGAAAGAGGAATAGTCAACAAGCTCTTTACTGTCTCTTTTTATAAAAGCACTAGTCCTGGCCAGGAGCCGTGGAGTTTATATTTTGTGGGTATCTCCTCCAAATGCATAAGGAAGAAGTTTTCATCAACAGGGCAAGGCAGTACGGAAGTGTTCCACACAGGGACATTGGCAAGACAGGAAAGTCATCACATTGGAGAGTTTTGCTTCCAGGAGACTGAGGAACATAGTCATGACTTTGAGTTTCAGTGGCAAGAAGGTGAAAGAAATAACCAGGAAGCACCGTGACAAAATTTAAGAAGCTGACCATGAAGCACCATGACAAAATTTAAAAAAAATTTAAAGGCATGCTGGAAACAAGCCTATTAAAGATGAGCTTGGAGTTATCTTATATTGGCATCTTCTGAAACTCACATTTCAGACTGAAGGGAATTTTGGTAATCAGGTTGAGAAGTCTGTCGATGATGCTTCCTTAGTTTCAGCATCCCAAATAATTTCTTGTGTAGCCAAAACCCATATATCTAATAACCATGACAGTAATTTTCTCCATTCTTCATTACTTACACAAAAATAGGAAGGACGCATGAGAGAAAAATCTTTCCAATGTCATGAGACTGGGAAAGCCCTTAATTGTAGCTCATTTTTTTCATTTATTTTTTCTTTATTTTTCCAGCTGCTGGCAACCTCAATTGTAGCTCATTGTTAAAGAAACATCAGATAAACCATTTAGGAAAGAACAAATACAAATGTGATGTGTGTGGCAAGGTCATCAATGAGAAGCGAAATCTTGTACACCATCATAGATGTCACACTGGTGAGAAACCTTACAAGTGTAATGAGTGTGACAAGTCCTTCAGTGACAGGTCATGCCTTCCACGCCATCATAGACTTCATACTGGAGAGAAACCTTACAAGTGTCATGAGTGTGACAAAACCTTCAGTCGTATGTCATCCCTTACATGCCACCGTAGACTTCATACTGGAGAGAAACCTTACAAGTGTCATGAGTGTGGCAAGACCTTCAGTCAGATGTCATCCTTAACATGCCATCATAGACTTCATACTGGAGAGAAACCTTACAAGTGTAATGAGTGTGGCAAGACCTTCAGTGACATGTCATCCCTTACATATCATTGTAGACTTCATACTGGAGAGAAACCTTACAAGTGTCATGAGTGTCACAAGAGCTTCATTCAAAAGTCAGCCTTTACTTGCCACCGTAGAATTCATACTGGAGAGAAACCTTACAAGTGTAATGAGTGTGGCAAGACCTTCAGTCAAAATTCATCACTTGTAATTCATAAGGTAAATCATACTGGAGAGAAACCTCACAAGTGTAATGAATGTGGCAAAAGTTTTGTCAAAAAGGAACACCTTGTACGTCATCATAGACATCATACAGGAGAGAAACCTTACAGGTGTAATGAGTGTGGCAAGACCTTCAGTCAAAATTCATCACTTGTAATTCATAAGGTAAATCATACAGGAGAGAAGCCTCACAAGTGTAATGAATGTGGCAAAAGTTTTGTTAAAAAGGAACACCTTGTACGTCATCATAGACATCACACAGGAGAGAAACCTTACAGGTGTAATGAGTGTGGCAAGGCCTTCAGACAGGTGTCATTTCTTACATACCATCGTAGACTTCATACTGGAGAGAAACCTTACAAGTGTAATGACTGTGGCAAGACCTTCAGTGACAGGTCATCCCTTCAACGACATCATAGACTTCATACAGGAGAGAAACCTTACAAGTGTAATGACTGTGGCAAGACTTTCAGACAGGTGTCATCCTTTACATGCCACCGTAGACTTCATACTGGAGAGAAACCTTACAAGTGTAATGACTGTGGCAAGACCTTCAGACAGGTGTCATCGTTTACATGCCACCGTAGACTTCATACTGGAGAGAAACCTTATAAGTGCAATGAGTGTGGCAAGACCTTCAGTCAGATGTCATCTTTTACACGCCACCATAGACTTCATACTGGAGAGAAACCTTACAAGTGTAATGAATGTGGCAAAGTTTTTAATTGCAAAGCACACCTCGTACGTCATCATAGAATTCATACTGGAGAGAAACCTTACAGGTGTAATGAGTGTGGCAAGACCTTCAGTCACATGTCATCTGTTACATGCCATCGTAGACTTCATACTGGAGAGA